TACAGGCGCAATCGACTTGTGAGTTCCCCCGTTTCAAATGACACCTACTCCTCGGATGGTGAGAGGATCAAATGCATTGACACGTTATACTACATCAGAGGTCAGTTAGAAAAACAGAAGCCATGCTATGTGCACCGGGTACAAAAGATTTTAGCATAGGCATTAGTGGATTTCAGGACTATCAAAAGAGATAGGAAAGACAAAGTCAAAGAAGGTATCACCAGAGATAAAGGGAGCAGACACTGGAGACCACAGCTCGAAGCACCAAGGGGGATAATTCTCAAAAGATTACTGGGAAGTTCTCAAGAATCCCTGAAAATCCTCTCACCCTAGCCCTACCTCTGTCTGCAGCTGTGAAGCACGTTTCTCCTGAGTTCCTCAGGAAGCTTCTGTAAATCTCACGTCTGCCCACCTGTCTGGCTCTAGAGAATAATGACTTCTCTTTCTCTTCTACCTTGCCTAAATGCTGGGTAGGACCTTGGATTGAATCCTGGAAGCCAAAAGAACTTCAGTGGAAAATCTGGTGAAATAGGAAGACAGTCTGGAGTTAACAGTATTGTGCTGATGTTAATTTCTGGGTTCTGATCATTGTACTATGGTTATGAAAACTGTTAACATCAGGGGAGGCTGAGTGAAGGGTATACAGGAACTCTCTGTGCTATTTTTGCAGCTGTTAAGTCCAAAATTAGCCCCAAATAAAGTTAAAAAATAAAAGACTGAGCTATCTAAGTAGTATCAAGAGTGAATTCATCATTTTGCACTGGGCCTGCAACTTATGCAGCCAGTCCTGCATGGATGTGTACGGAGAACTGAACAAAACATTTCCTGTGATGCAAAATTATGAGGCCGCAGCAAAATAATTGCCCTGAACTTGAGGGGGTGCTGGGGGCAGAAGAGATAGGAGCTGCTTGATCTGAATGGGTCTTGAGGACAAGAATAAGAACGGCTATGGGCCACTGACTGAAGACCAGCTGGGACAAGGGACATCTCAGCTGCTGACAGCTAAAGAAAATGGCGAGAACCTGACTCTGATGCCCTCTCCCCCACTTGGCACTGTAGAAGACCCTTAAAACTTAGAAGTGAGTCTGGAAGAAAGGGTGAAACACTGCCATTGGCATTCTCCCAAACCTACCTCCGTCCACGCCCTGGGTTATTTCCTTGTTTTACAAGGAAACTCAAAAGCCTTGAACAACTACAATAAAGTTTCTACTCCTAATGCATGGAGGCTCGAAATAGAAATTGTTTTAGAAAAATATTTATATTTCTTACCCACCTGTGTTTGTGGACTGAGATTTATACCTGTCACTCATCAATCTTCCCAACTGATATTTTGCTAATTTATTTCAAAATATTAAGGGGGTACAAATGTTTTAAGTTACATGGATCACTTTTGTAATGCTTGATGTGGAATCAACCCAAGTGCCCATCAATTCATGAGTGGATTAATAAAATGTGGTGTATATACACCATGGAGTACTACTCAGCCATAAAAAAGATTAATACCTTTTGCAACAATCTGGATTTTACTAATTATTTGAGATTACTGATTATTCTGTCTCAAAGTAAATGACCAGATTTTTTTAGCATGGTGAAAAAGGTCATTGCAAATTTAATGTATGGTGAGTTAAAATAAGTTATGATGAAAGGAAGGGGTGACAAGCGCTTTATTCTTATAGAAGAGTGAATATCATTAAATTGTCACAGAGAAGTATTCTGCTAGATGCAGATATGGGATATAAGGAAAACTGAAAACCAGGAGTGAAAATATTAGCCTTTCTGGCCAAAATTAAATACTACCAGCCGGGCACAGTGGCTCATGCCTGTAATCTTAGCACTCTGGGAGACTGAGGTCGGGGAGGATCCCTTCAGGTCAGAAGAGACCAGCTTGAGCAAGAGGGAGACC